CGCCAAATAGAAGTGGCGAAATTGGAGGTTGTTATAGTTGTGGAAAAGTTGGAAATATAAGAAAATGTAACCCTAAGGGGATCATAAACATTTTTTTTATTCCGCACAGTTTTTAATCTATTTTTGTATTTATTAAATAAACACTGACACTTTTCACTGTTTTAAGTCCTTGATTATGCATTCCATGCGCATGCGCGCGAAAGCCTCTAGATTTTGGACAAATACGGTTTTTTTCTATTTAAACAAAAATACAAAGATGCATTTAGTGAAATTGATTAATTCGAATGGAGCAATTCGAAAGCATTATTATGAGGTCTTATAATTTGTTACCAAATACCATTTTGGTAAAAAGTTATGACCGTTTTTCGACGAAAAGTCCATAGATTTTTCACAAAAACGTTTCTTTTAATTTACATAAAAAACTATAAGAAACCAATTAATAACATTTATCTATGCAAATATGGAGCAAAATTTTGAGACCTCGTTCAAAAATACCAATTAAATCAAAAGTTCTGAGTTTTTTGGGATCCCGATTGGACACGTTACGATTGGACACAGCCACTCACAGCGACTGGTGCCTAGAGGCTTTCTGTTCCAAGCGCTATGATTGGTTTATGTCCAATAACGTGGTCAATCGGATGCCACCCGTTTTTTGTAAAAAATTGTTTTTTGGGTTTAAAAAAAAGCAAAAGGGAAAATATTTTTACGTTTATCAATACAAACGGAGCAATTCGAGAGCATTATTTTGAGCTACTGATCATTCGGAAATTTTCATCTTGCGGGCTGGCTTTACGAGGGTCAAGTTCTGAACGCGAAGACATTCGAAAAAGGGAAAACAAACGCAAAAAGGAAATAAAAATATCGTATTCAGTACTGACTTGCACCGCTACATCTATGATGAATACGATAAGTCTAACATCAATTCTTAAGGCGATGCCGGAAGGTAGAAAATACCGACACATTACAGTTTAGTAGATTTCTTCGAATTGACTGAACGGAATTGAAAATCCTTTTACAGGGTTGAAATAGACATGAAATTGTGATGTTAAACGATCAAATATGTAGTAAAATCGGAAAAAAAATTTAAAAATTACATTTTTTTGGGTCGTACAGCTGACACCTAATCATAACCTGACATAAACATTTCATTAATGTAAAAGTTCTGTAGCTCATATGTA